GGTGCTCGCCTCTGCCTGCCCCCCTTCCCGGGGGGACGGGGGGGGGGGGGGGGGGGCAGCCCTGTGCTGGGGGACAGGGATGGGGGGACAGGGATGAGGATGATGGAGACAGGGATGAGGACAATGGTGACGGGGCAGTGCCGTCCAACTGCAGCGCCTAAGCCCACGGGAGCCGCAGGATTCACATGGGCCCGTGAGATGCAGGAAAGCAGCTTAACTACAGAATTATTTACTTTAACTCCTCTTGCTTTAGCTCTGTCCTTAATAGTCCCCCAGGCTCAGGGGGCCGGGCCAGGCCGGGCTGACGGGGGGGACCACAGACCGCCCCTGCCCCAGGGAAGGGGGGCCGGCATGGGGGGCTTTGCCCCAGCATCCCTGACCCAGTGCTCAGTGCCGCTCCTGGGACTCAGCAGTGCCACAGAGCAGGGCTCAGCATGGCGTATGCAGTCCGGCATGGCCACACTCAGCCCTCGATGCTGGGCTCCCAATGCTGGGCTCCATCGTGGTGACAGAATGTGGGGGATGTCCCCTCCCCAGTCAGCCCCTGTCCCAGGAGGCTTTCCAGAGCCCCCGGCCTGGCGGGCAGCCCAGCTCCGGCTCAGCCTGGTGGGATGGGGACACCGCACCGGTGGCCGTCCCTGCGCCAGGGACGCATTTAGGATGGGATTAGAGAGGTGATGGCCGGGATGGGGAAGGGCAGGTGGGGAGCTCTGGCACATCAGCGGTCACAGGGGTGCCCCATGTTGGCACATGCACTGCCTTCTGGCTGTGGGGCTGCGCGTGGTGTGGCGTGGCACAACTCTGCATGACATGACATGGCATGGCATGGCATGGCATGGCTTGGCATGGCATGGCTTGGCATGGCATGGTATGGCATGGTATGGCAGGGAAGGGCTCGGCATGGCACAGCATGGCATGACATGGCTTGGCATGGCACAGCTCAGCACAGCAGGGCTCAGCCTGCGCCTGCCCTGGGTGAGCACCATGCATTGCCGATGCTCCCGGCCAGGTGGCATGCGGGCACACCTGTGTCACACACACCTGCGTCACGCACAGGTCCCGTGCCCGTGTCCCACGGGTGTATCGCACCCCCGCACCCCGCAGCAGCGTCCCACCCTCGTGCTCTCCACCCGTGTCGCCCTTCCCTCCCGCCGGAACTACAACTCCCAGCAGCCCTCGCGGCTCCCACCGCCCTGCTCCGCCATTGGTCGCCTCGGGGGCGCCCGGCTCCGGGCTCGGGATTGGCTGTCCCCGCGGCAACGG